GACTCCATTATATTGTGTTGTATGCAGAAATTTTAGTGCTTTCAAAGACATCGTTAAATGAATATTTTCCAGCATCCTAGTAAAAAATATTTCAAAAGGATATATAGTTTAGTAATTTAATACTTATGTTTAATAAAAATAATATACAGTGGTTTGAAAAATTGTATACTTCGTATGCGGAAAGGGAATACAAAACAAAAACATAATCAGCCTTATTCTAAATATTCGCTGGGAGATATCTCGCATGTACAAAAATTTTCGCTTTCACATTCTCGCCTTATTCTGAATGAATAGGGAGACGCAAAAAATGCGAGATGCGGATTCAAGTTTTCAAAAATGGTGGTTGAAAAAAGGATTCGTGTTGCCATATTATAATTTAAGTTGTAATGTGTGTTGCCATATTGTAATTTAAGTTGCAATGTATGTTGCCCCATTGTATTTTAATTGTGTAATGTTTTTCAATATTTTATTTATTGATTATTTTATTAAAAATTGTTACTTGTTATTGTTGTTTAAACTTTATAACAATACAAATATGAAATATCAAGAATCCGCTTTATAAATGCTTTGTAATTAAAAGAAAATTATTAAAGTTTGAAAATATGGCAACTTACAATATGACTTGTGAAACATCTGCGGCTCATTAGGCAAATTTGGTTTTTCTATAATTTTTTCTTGAGAGACAGATCCTCACGCGACTTAAATATTCATTATTACCTTTATACATTCCTTGGCAATTTTTGGTTCAGCATGCATCATTATCAATAGGATTTCCAAAGGCATTTTATTTGCTGTTTTCCAGATAAATATTTGCTTATTATCATTTATAATATTCTAAATCGTCATAGAATAAGTATTATGTTAATATTTTTCATAATGTTTTATGTTATGTTTTTGTAGTCAACTCACTTTGAATTTATTAGCGAAAAATTTCCCACAAAATTTCATCTCATTCTCCTACTCCCTGTAATCCAGAATACCTAATTTTTCCCCTAAAGCGGATTTTTTCGCTTTCGAACTTCATTCAGAATCAGGCGAAAGCGAGAATGCGAAAAAATTCACACAAAAATGTTGTTCAGAATAAGACAAAGGGGTAGAGCGAATAAATTCACGTGGAATTGACATCCAGAATAGGGCTGAATATTTAATATTGAAATCTTGAACACTTTATAATTTTTGTACTATAATTCCGAACGCCGCCTCTGTTCCTACATAAAATTATCAAGTTTATTACCATTTAGTCCATGTCTATATTGTACCGGATTTTGTTAAACCAGTTGGTTAAAATCGTCAATTACCATTGTATATTTATCAAATAAATTCTCATAAAGCAGGTTAACTCGTTAAAATACCATGTTCTGATGAGAATTCGAACAACGTAGTTCGCTCTCAGAATTAGCTACAGCAATTAACCCGCTCATACAATACTATTGTTAATTTATGTCATCAGAATTTTCTTTTTCAAATTTGTTGTTTCTTCTTTTACACCGAAAACGCAAAATATTTGTGTGTATTACCTAGGAATTTAAATAGAAAAAAATTATTCTCTTTCTCCTGAATATAGTAACCCATAGCTATTTACTTTTCATTCATGTTTTCCATTATTTCTGAAAATGTTGTTGTTTTTAATACATGTTTATATTTTCTCAAATTCGAATGTCACATACTGTCACATATAAAAATTTGGAGAATTTTTTGTTTGAGTTTCCGCACATTTATTTCTTGTTTTATACGCTAATTAGAACCAAGAGACAAGAAATGCAGAACAAATTTCTTGGCTATCCAGAGAGTGATTCGAATTGGACAACGTACAAAAGACGAATGAGAGAGCGAACAACGCGCGTCTGAATATGACACAAATACATGTGTTTTACTTTTGAGGTGAAGAACGTCGAACGAGCTAGTTAAATTTTAGGTTGGGCTGTCAATGAAAATCACGGCACAATAAGAAAGGTAGAATTACATGGCGAAACTAATAAATGGTTTGTTCCCGTACTGCAATAATATACTTTATTTTACTATTTTATTCGATATCATAAAGGAAAAGTCGTTGTCGTAGGAAAATGTACTCGAACAGAACAAAAAATGTGGTGTCTTTTAATGTCATACTTTCATATAAACAAATCCAACGGATTGTTTTACTTATTTGACATGTTTTTACAACCTTATTAAATTAGGAAAATATCGCGAAAAATTAATAAAATGTTAACTGGTTAAAAATGTGATTGTAATAAATGTTCTTTCCTAAAACACTGAAACATGTTATTCTCGAATGCATATATAGAAATTAAGTTATTGTTTTCACATTAATCTGTGCATCACAAGAAAAAATTGTAATCAGAAGGTACCATTCATCTAAACTTTTATAAAACGTGTCACTACTAAGTGAAAAGGTTTTTTTAAATTGTCACAAAAATAAAATTTGTCGTGAAATACCACACTAACACCTGTTATTGGACAATTCGGTATTCTTTGAAGGGGTTTGAAACAAGAAAAACGAAATTTTATTTCAATACCACAATAACTCCTTCAAGAGAATACAATGTAAATAATCAATATTGCAAAAATGAAGAAGATTTAACTCACCGTTGTCTTGAAAATAGAATAAACTCTATTCCTCTGTTTCTTGTCCACATAAAATGTTTTATACCGTGCAATATGAGGAAAGGTGTAACTGCACATTTTAAGATTTGAAAACAACTCATAATAAATAGGACCATTTCGCCTTTTTTTTAAACTTTCTATAGAAATTATATAGAAAGTTAAAATTTATATATATATAATTACCAAGATAAATTGTGTATTTATTAATCACGTTATCGACATGTTTACACATTATCGAAACGTGTAAACATGCCAAATTGAAGTTGTCATTTTTAAGTGAATGAATGGGAAGAAGAGGATATTGCAAGGTAAATATCAAGGTGTATTAAATAAGGTGTAAGTGACAATCCTATAGTTTAACACAGGGATAATTTCTTAGCTTCCCAAAGAACCAAATTTAAAGCCCTGTCGCGGATCATTTCAAACACTTACAACAAGATATATATTTTGTTCATGGGTGATAGCATGAATTTGGGATATTTATCTCAAGGCTAACCAACGACAAAATTTCTGCAAAAAAAAAAAAAATATATATTTGTTGCGTAGGCGAAAATCTTAAATTGCAGCGAATGTTGTTTGCCACTCGCTTCTATTTTTTCATTGTATAAGAAATTCCGTTGCATATTTTACATTAGAATATGTCGACGGTGAAGTTGAGGATTCCGCCAACCACCTCGAATATATATGTATATATATAGGTTCCAAGTGATGTTGTCCCCAAGATCCGGACAATCACTTTAATTTTATATTTGAAAGAAAATTACACGGAGAATAAAATTAAATAAACTTTAGAAAAAAATCGGTTAAAAATGGATGACTTATACACATTTTTGTATTGATTCTATGCATATTCTTTTAAGGAACTATACGTATATCTCATTTCGTTTTGCCCGTTACAAACATATTATGGAAACGAGAAAACAAGATAGACCCATAGTTCCTTTAGAGAATATGCATAGAATCAATACAAAAATGTGCATAAGTCATCCATTTTTTAACCGATGTTTTTGATTTTTCTTATTTTCGAAAGCTTATCTAATGTTCTACCCCGTAATATAGTAAAACTTATACGGCTTAATATCATAATTGACCCGCTCACACCAAACGAAAATCCAATTTGTAGCCTTCATTTCAAATATAAGTTTTCCATCTCTATCCGTTCACTCAAATATAAATCGTACCAAATTTAGTACCATTCAGTACACATAATTACGAATTATCTAAACTACCGACATATCTCAATCCTGCACTCGAAACGGTAATTTTAAATCAATAATTCAGTATCTCAGGCCCATCTGTTCCAAAAAACAGTAAGTAAAATATTTAGTACCATTTTTAGTACTTTTTGTTTCTATAATTACACTACCTCAATCCTACACTCGAACAGTAATTTAAATTTCAAAATTCTGGAGTCCAGCTATACCCGTTCACACATAATTAAGTGGTACCAAATATCCATATCTATATTCTACAACAATTATCCCAAATTGTATGTTTCTATCTCTCTCCGTTCACCCAAATCCAAATAGTACTAAATCTAGTGCCGTTTAGTACTTTTCGTACATATAAATAAAATTACCCAAAGATGTCTCTATAGATGATTGTTCAACAGCACTATTAATTCAAAATTTCAGATTTTCAGCTCTATTCGTTAACACACAATCGAAATTGTACTAAAATTTGTACCATTTAGTACTCTTCGTACCCATAAACACGAAATTCCTATCTCAATCCCTCACTCAATAGTCATTTTAAGTACCTATTTGAAGACTCCCGCTCTATCTCTTCTCCTAAGTACAACTTACACCAAATTAAATACTTTTCGAACACATAAAAACGATATTTTAAAGCTACCTCAATCCTGTACTCCAAAAGCATATTTTCAGGATTAAATCTCTATACGCTCAACTAAATGCAAATAGTACCAAATTTAGTATCATTTCGAATTTTTTATACACATAAATACGAATTTCATTACTACACTTATAGCTCGAATTTCCAAAAACACTTCTGTACATTTTTCTAGCTTTCCATCAGTGACCCACAATCCAAATTTCAGAATTCTAGCTCTTGCCTTTCGCCTAATACAAAAAGGTTAACAACTCATTCTGAAAAGTTCAAGTCTCTACTTTTAGCCGTTTCGTCTGGGCGATGATCTGCCAGTCACTCACGCACTTACCACTAAGCTCATATATATAGTTGTGTCTTAACACTGTGGTACCAGATTTATGTCGGTCCTTTTTTTATTATCGATTTTTTAATTTAACAGTATCTTAAATGTTATAAACGAATACTCATGATAATAAAGAAAGGAATTCATAAAAATGTAAATAGATATTCATTGAAATAGAAATGAAATTTTTTATATTTTAGTTTCTTAAAAAAGGATCACAATTTCAAATACGAAATGTATTTAAATGTGCGCACTGCTGTTGTTGGGGGATATCGTTTTGTTGTTGCTGATGCATTTGGGATTGGTTTGATTGCTGGTTTTGTTGAGGATGATGATGTTGTTGTTGGTATTGGGGATGGTAGTAAATAGGAATAGATTGATGATGGAAATAGTATTGCTGTTGCGGATGGTGTTGCTGATGTTTTTTGTTGCGGATGGTGTTGATGGTAGTGTTGTTGTGGATGGTTATATTGTTGTTGTTGATATGGAGAGAGATAGTTTTGATGGTAAAACCGTTCATGTGAATGATATCTTTGGTGCTGGCGGCTTAATTTCAGGGAGTGTTTTTTTAACTTTCTTATTAATTTTGTGGTCTGCAGCGCAGCACCCCTGTTAAACTAAATCCTCAGTTTCAATGGCACCAAAACATTTTGCCAAAATTAATAAAAAAAAAATATTTAAATTAATTAAAAAATTTATATATAAATAAAAAAAATTATACATTAGGTACATTGCTGCCATAGCAGTCGCCCACATTTTGGAAACAAAAATAGATGACATGAGTATTATAACCTAATTTGTCACATGGTTAAAGTTTTAAAAATGGAGCCTCTTACCACTGCCATGTCGCCTTTTAATTTATTCAATTCCTTTAAATTTTTTTTTTGAATGCTTTTAAAATTTATTTTGAGTCCTTATTAGATTTTTTTCAATTTGCGAAGATTTCTTATCCTTAGCAGATTTTTGACTTTTACAAAGTGTTTTTTCTGCTTTTAATCGATTTTTTTAATTTACGAAATGATGTTTGCACACATCTATCAAAAATATTCGAACTCGTGCACTGTCCACTATTTGCAAATATCCTCAGGGGAAGAGAAAAATTAAAAAGCGTCCCACCAGCTGCAAATGGGGGAGAAGAAAAAAGTATGAACTCAAAACGGAACGCAGACAAATGTACACGGGTAATGGTAACAAATTGCTCGTATATATATATATATATATATATATATATATACCCTATAGGGAAATGAACCAATTTTAAACTAACTTTAAACTAATTTTAAAATAGTCACTACTAGTCCATTTATCGATTATTTTTTTTTGGACCAATTGACTATTTTAACATGGCGATGATCGCGGTAGTAGTCAGTAACTTTTCAACTGGTTACAAACTAGTTATTTTTGACCGATTTATAGTTACATTAAAAAAATGCAGATAGTCATCGGTCTAAAAGAGATTAAGTTGTATGTAGAATTTTCGAAATGACTATTAGTTGGTATATGTTAATATAACTATTTACTAACTTAACTTGGCTAATTTGTAATTATACCAATACTGCAATGTTTGAATCTATGAAATAACGTTAGACAATATACAATTTCAGTTTAGAATTCAATATATTTATTATTAATAGTTGGAAATTATATACATAGGTGGAAGTACATAAAATATGCCAAATCAATAATTCATCACAGAAAATTTATATAAATGAGTGACTTATAGTTGTTTTTTTATGCATATGTTGTGAAAGTGGCGTTTTTTAATAATATGCAATGCTTTTTGGAGCTCTTTCTCTGGATCCACTGGAAGTGATTGCAGGGCGTCCATAAGGCACTCGAAAACATTTTGGAAATTTGTTAGGTAGGCTGATGAACATCTGAAATATAGTGAAATTAAAATTCCAATTAGAATAGTTGGTTTAATTTATATAATAAATTACTTACTTAAATTCATGCTGATGCGTTTCACTGACTTTGGCGGGGACTCCATGTTTTTATTGGATGATTTTGTTATAAATTTTACAAATATTCTGTATATGTGCTACAAATTAAAAGAAATATGTATCTATATTTACTTCTTCTCTTTGCTTCTTACATAATTTTCTACGATGTGACTTGATAGGTAACATTTCAATTATATTATTAAAACACTTACCAATTTATTTTTAATTTCACACTTAAAGAGCACAATTATAATTAATTACGATTTACACGTCTTCACTCTCCGAAGTTTCAAACAGAATGATTTTTCTTCATCTTTGCATTCGGTGTTGTTGTGTGGAATGCAATTCTAACGGTTTCTTGGTTTGCGTGTGTTATGTTTTTGATGACATGAACATATTTTTGGTTTCAATGTGGTTGAGTCTTAGATGACTTTCTAGCTAATTTATAATCAGTTGAATAATAATTTCTTTATAACTAAACATTTTGTAAACTAGTTGATGAAAGTCCTACAGGGTATATATAGTTGTGTCTTAACACTGTGGTACCTGATTAATGTCTGTTCATTTTTTTATTTACGATTTTTTAATTTAACAGTATGTTAAATGTTATGAACGAATACTCATGATAATCAAGAAAGGAATTCATAAAAATGTAAATACATATTCATTGAAATATAAATGAATTTTTCTATATTTTAGTTTCTAAAAAGGATCAAAATTTCAAATACGAAATGTATTTAAATGTTTGTTGTATATATATATATATATATATATAGTTGTGTCTTAACACTGTGGTACCATGTTAATGTCTGTTCATCTTTTTATTCTCGATTTTTTAATTTAACAGTATATTAAATGTTATGAACGAATACTCATGATAATCAAGAAAGGAATTCATAAAAATGTAAATACATATTCATTGAAATATAAATGAAATTTTCTATATTTTAGTTTCTAAAAAAGGATCAAAATTTCAAATACGAAATGTATTTAAATGTTTGTTGTATATATATATATATATAGTTGTGTCTTAACACTGTGGTACCAGATTAATGTCTGTTCATTTTTTTATTTTCGATTTTTTAATTTAAAATGAAAATAAAGAAAGGAATTCATAAAAATGTAAATAGATATTCATTGAAATATAAATGAAATTTTCTATATTTTAGTTTCTAAAAAAGGATCAAAATTTCAAATACGAAATGTATTTAAATGTTTGTTGTAGGACTACCGATTCTCAGGTGCTGCAAGCGTAGGTCCTGGCTTTCTGGTGCGCACTGCTGTTGTTGGGGGATATCGTTTTGTTGTTGCTGATGCATTTGCGATTGGTTTGATTGCTGATTTTGTTGTGGATGATGATGTTGTTGTTGGTATTGGGGATGATAATAAATAGAAATAGATTGATGATGGAAATAGTATTGCTGTCGCGGATGGTGTTTTTGTTGCGGATGATGTTGCTATTGTTGTGGATGGTTATATTGTTGTTGATATATTTATATATATATATATATATATTTAGTTGTGTCTTAACACTGTGGTACCAGATTAATGTCTGTTCTTTTTTATTTTCGATTTTTTAATTTAACAGTATATTAAATGTTATGACCGAATACTCATGATAATAAAGAAAGGAATTCATAAAAATGTAAATAGATATTCATTGAAATATAAATGAAATTTTTTATATTTTAGTTTCTAAAAAGGATCAAAATTTCAAATACGAAATGTATTTAAATGTTTGTTGTAGGACTACCGATCCTCTGGTGCTGCAAGCGTAGGTCCTGGCTTTCTGGTGCGCACTGCTGTTGTTGGGGGATATCGTTTTGTTGTTGCTGATGCATTTGCGATTGGTTTGATTGCTGATTTTGTTGTGGATGATGATGTTGTTGTTGGTATTGGGGATGGTAGTAAATAGGAATAGATTGATGATGGAAATAGTATTGCTGGTGCGGATGGTGTTGCTGATGTTGTTGTTGCGGATGGTGTTGATGGTAGTGTTGTTGTGGATGGTTATATTGTTGTTGTTGATATGGAGAGAGATAGTTTTGATGGTAAAACCGTTCATGTGAATAATATCTTTGGTGCTGGCGGCTTAATTTCAGGGAGTGTTTTTTTAACTTTCTTATTAATTTTGTGGTCTGCTGCCTGTTAAACTAAATCCTCAGTTTCAATGGCACCAAAACATTTTGCCAAATTTAATAAAAAAAATATTTAAATTAATTAAAAAATGTATAAATAAATAAAAAAAATTATACATTAGGTACATAGCTGCCATAGCAGTCGCCCACATTTTGGAAACAAAAATAGATGACATGAGTATTATAACCTAATTTGTCACATAGTTAAAGTTTTAAAAATGGAACCTCTTACCACTGCCATGTCGCCTTTTAATTTATTCGATTCCTTTAAATGTTTTTTGAATGCTTTTAAAATTTATTTTGAGTCCTTATTAGATTTTTTTCAATTTGAGAAAATTTTTTATTCTTAGCACATTTTTGACTTTTACAAAGTGTTTTCTCTGCTTTTTATGGATTTTTTTTTTAGTTTACGAAATGATGTTTGCACACATCAATCAAAAATATTCGAACTCGTGCACTGTCCACTATTTGCAAATTTCCTCAGTGGAAGAGAAAAATTAAAAAGCGTCCCACCAGCTACAAATGGGGGAGAAGAAAAAAGTATGAACTCAAAACGGAACGCAGACAAATGTACACGGGTAATGGTAACAAATTGCTCGTATATATATATATATATATATATATATATAGTTGTGTCTTAACACTGTGGTACCAGATTAATGCCTGTTAATTTTTTTTATTTTCGATGAACGAATGGCGAAATAT